CTTCGGCACTGTTAGCGCATCCCAAGTCGTTTTTCTGACCCCAAACTGGGAAGTGCATATTCTGGGGTGCGCTCCTGGGCAAGTCACATGCACCTCATCCCCCCCAAAAAACACACATTTTCAAGGCAAAAGTGCAAGATCATAGCACCCCAAATGGCCGCCGAGATCTCACACAAAAAAGCGTGATGTCCCTTTTTTCCAGAGAATTTGAAAGGGTATGCAATGCCCTGGATGAGGCCTACTTCATTCTTTCCCACAATGCTTTTGCTCAGCATGGGATGTGGGATCACATCCTTCCCAAAAAGAAAAGCAGAGGACAATACTGGGATAACCTCTCCTGACATCTTGTAGCATAATCCTTTCACAAGCTATGGGCCTTTTACAAGCAGCCATGTTGACTACAAATTCTAATTTCTGTTGCTCCACACACCTGAACTGCCTAACCACTTGGCAAGACGACAGGGATAACTAAGAAGACGCATGCCAGAGCGCTCACCCCAAGCTAGTTTGGTCAGCTGCGTGACCTCAATGTATACACAGAAGAAACTCTCAAGTATTTGATTTATTATTACACCGGGTGATTTCCAACTAAGTCATACTCAGAGCAGACCTATTAATGGACCTAAGTGGGTTGTTATATTTTTATTTAAGATATTTTTCAGGACAGAAACCTGTTCAGTGTGCCTTGCGGTCAAAACAACAAAAGAGAAAGACAAGGATATAAAAATTTAAACTTAAAAACTGCAACTCAGCAGCTCAGAATTTTTTTAAACAGGGCTAGATAAAATATGATTCAGTCCAGCCAGTACCCAGCTAATAAACATCACGCCTAGAAACATCATTTCTTTGGGGCCCTCCAAAACCCTGCAAAGCCTGCAGCACAGAAATGTGATGTGGATCTGATGGAAGGGAATTCCCTAGCCATGGAGCCAGCATTGAGAAGCTCCTCTCTCACACATGGCCACTCACGCTATTGACTAAGTTACTCAAGTCTATTGATTTCAGTGGGTCTAGTCTTAACTATTATTGAGTATCACCCATTAGCTTTACATTCTGCCTTTCTTCCATGATGGAACTCAATGTGACATACACATAAGCTTCTCAGATGGTCTCCCACTGGGATGGACAGATCCATCAGTCCATGCCAGTTCTGCATGTGCTAATTTAGAAGTCCTTTCCCCTTTCCATCCTATTTCCACGTTGTTCTGCCCCCCCCCTTTTTAACTCACATTTCTGAGTTGTGTTTTACTCTAAAATAACCCCTTTGTTTGCATTTCAATCAAAAACATGCATTCTTGCACGTACTTAAAAATGCACATTTTATATGCATTTTGATTCTTCTTTTGAACGGAGAACTACATTACAAAATTTGAAGAAGCATGAAAGCTGAAAAATAACTGCATTCCAATACACAAATTAGTTACAGGATGTGTGAATCAGATCATTTTCCTTAAAAGTACCAACAAAAACCAAACCCTTGGGCATCCCTGGTCTCCTATCCAACCCCAAACGTACTTAGGGTTAGGGTTAGGCTTACTCCGCATCCAGTGTGCTTCCACTGCAATTTTTTGAAGCTGCAATCACATCACGTTGGCCACAATCCATACTGACCCTGTAGTTTCTTGACAAATACAACTGTTTGATGTATCAGCAGTAATGTGGACATACCCTAACAGCGGTTGTGCAAGCGCAGATGAACACACACACACAACTTTGCAGGGGCAGGGAAACCAAAAAGGTCATGTACGTCAAGTGAAGACATCCCTGCCCCCTCTCTGATGTGAACAGCTCTGTGAAAATGTTGGGGAGGGGGCTGCATTTCAGGTCACTAATGTGAATGTACCCCAGGTTTCAGCAAGATAGCTGCATTATATCAGAACTTGATTTTAATGACACTTACTTCCAAGTAAAAAGGCATAGGATTTCATCTCTAGTTGAAGGAATGTACTTCTGTAAATAAGTGTGTGTGTGTGTGTGTGTGAGAGAGAGAGAGAGAGAGAGAGAGAGCGCATAGAAAAAATATATACAACACATCCCACCGGAGAAGCTGATGCTGTTTGCCTTTGTTCATGTGAGGATGCAGCCAGGCAGTGGTGCAGAGAGTTTGCAAGCTGTTGTTATGGAATCCTCGAGCTGCTGAACAAATCCTGTAGGGAGTTCATGCTGTCAAGAGTTTAAGTGGAACACAGGGCCCATTCTGGCCCCTCTGCACAGTAGGGAATATCACTCTGTGATAGTAGAGTAAACAGAACTGCAAAGCATTCCTTTGTTAAACCTTCCTCTGGCGATAGTTCCTGAATGCTTGTGCAATCCTTTCCAAAATATGTGTCGTGTATTTATTACTGCTGCACTGGGTAGGAGCACCACTTTGCCAGAGGAATTCCTTCTTGCACACAGTTACCAGCTGTGCTCTCCTGAGATCAGCTGAGGGCTCGTCCATCCTTCCATTTGCCTCGCCACGTTCCCCCAGGAAAACCTGCTCTTTACTGCTGAATCGGAACAAGCGGCAATTGGGTTTTCTGCAGATTGCTGTTTGTTCTGATTCAGCGGTAAAGACTGGGCTTTCCCAGAGAAAGCTGCAGAGCAAACGAGAAACTGCTTGGACCTGTGCCTAGAAAGCACGAGACAAGTGGAAAACATCTCAACCCCGTGCTTTTTCAGGCACGGGTCAAGCGGAAGCATGAACGAGCCCTTGGTGTGGTTTGGTCATAAAATATGTTAATTTACAGTTGCTCAAAGCAACAGGTCACCTCAGCCATCAGGTCACAAGAGGCTGAGAAACTTGTTTACTCCGTCATAGCTGTGGGCCACGACATCTGGAAAGGAGAACTGGGCCAGAGAAATCAAATTTTTGAACTTTGAACTCCATAGGTGCTGCTGCTTGTGGGGACTGATGCCCCCTGGGCTTGCTGAGCCTGTATATTTGTAAGTAAACAGTATGCTAGCATACAAATTGCCATAAATCTCCAGTGCTCTTTCATCCAAAAGGAAGTAGAAGCACAAAACAGTTCCTATAACCTTGCACGTTCAACAAATTAGCACCATTGTCACATAATAGGTTTGCCTCCAGTTCAAATGCCTTTTTGTAGTATTATGCAGGTTGGCAGCATTTCTGTCATGTATTTCCCATGGGCCCATGTCAGCCCTGGGCAGGCTGCACACAGAGCAAAACCCATGGAAAGAACTGCAAATGGGTGCATTTTGCCATGCCAGTCTCGTTCTGCAAACATGAGTGAGACATGGGGGTGTTCCTGTGCAGGCTGTTCAGCACCTGCCTGCCTTCTGTCCAGTGCCTGGTGTTTTGCTAACAAAAACCAGGATGCAGATGTTGTGTGGGATTGTGACACTGACCAGTTGTGACAGTGACTGCTTTGTGCTGGTCTCCAATGACAAAGTCTTCCAGCCTAAAGGAGCACAATTCTTCACCCCCTCCACACTACCTGATAACAGACAGGAGCCAGTAGAACAATGGCTAGGATAATGGACAATGTCAAATATTTGCTTAAACTAGTACACTGAGTCAACAAGGATTGTATCTAGTTAAAGAGGTAACCTGTTCACGTTACAGCTTGACCGTGGAAAAACTATTTGGGAAAAGCAAACTTTCCCAAAGGTCATTTGACGATGGTCATGCCACGGCATGGTGATGGTGTTGAATTATTATTTATTAACATCTGGGACACAAAGGAACTGCAAATCTTTCTAGACTCAACATGAGAGAGTTGTAAATATCTAAATGTCTCAAGTCTTTTGGGCAGGGAACTGCTAAAGCTACTGGCATCCCTCTGTTTTAAAGACTGCTTTTTAATTGGTGAGTGTTGGGTAGAAAAGAACAGGGTGATGGTAGGGTGCAGACTGTGGAAATGAGGTTTCAACCCCATTGCAGAGTGTGGAAATAAGGTTTACATAGGATGACCCAACTGCCAACATGTTCGCATCCCATTCGTTAGCTCAAGAGAAAGTGAGAGCAGCAAATGCACTGACCTTTACAGAGGAAGCACGAGTATATGCTGATTTATTAATCCTGCAGCTGTGGGAACTTTTTACCACAAGAGTAGCTTGCGCATGGAACACATGAACAGTATATATTTTTATGAGCAATATATTCCCCTTGTTCCCTTTACATTTTTTACTCTCGGTGAGAAACAGTTTTGCCAATCGCCATGAACATTGCAAAACCCATCAAGGAGGGAAGCCACCCACAAGGTGCCCCATATATAACCCAATAGCAGCCCTGACAGGTGAGGCTGAACCTCCATCTAGTCTAGTGAAGCCCACAGGCAGGACTTGGAGGCAAACCCAGATTGGCCTCAGTGTAATGTGTGAATCCTGTGCTGATATGGTGTCTGTACCTCTTTGCCCCAGCTTTTCCTTCTACCCAAGGCTGCTGAAGGAGATGGAGTGCAAGTGAGCCTGGACTGGAAGATGAAATCCACTTGATAAGATCCATAGATCCTTTTCTCTCCCTATTGAAGTCTGCCGTGATTAAAAGGACCTTTGGCTGTGTTGCCTTTGTTGGCATATCAGTCACAGGCACCCCAGGCCAGCTAATTTTGTAAATATGAGTGTTGCACGTGTCTTTTGAGCAGATTGTGTGGTCACTTGCTGGGGTTCCCAATGAGAGTCTGTCTAGAATGAGGTAATGGTATCCCTACTGCCATAAAGAAGTGTCTCACTTACTATTTACTAATTTAGCATGAAAACCACTGTATAAAATAAGAGATTGATTGTGCAGTGACTAAAACACGGTTGGCATTGCTGCTTCACAGCTGTCAATTTCAATCTTGCTCCCCCCCACCCCCAAAAAAATCTGTCTGTTGCAGACAAAACAAACTGTTCACCAGGGACAATTTATAAGGGCTGCTAGTATTCTAGGCTACTTCTTTTTCTAGAAAGAGACACATCTAATGAGACTCTTCCAAAACCTGAAATGTTTCCAGCTGCAAAAAGTTATATGCGCCCACATCTGCACTCAGCCTTTATTGTAGGACATGGCGATTGTTCTTTTTAAGCCAGCCTTTACGGTCATAAATTTTTGTCTTGCACTCTTGGATGTACTTTAATTCTTTGTCTGCTCTTGGGTGCACAGCAAGGTTGATCAAAGAGAGCTCTTCCAGCTGTATTCCTATGGTTTTAGAGGACCTGAAAGTGAAACATAGGGATCTTTATCCATACAGAGAAGAAGAAGAAGTAGCTGATAGGAAGGAGGCATTTATTTGCACCCCATACAGTATGCAAGAGACTGTTTTGAACTAACCATAGTTAACACATGCCACAGTCTAGGGTTCAGACAATACACCAAACTGAGGTTACTCTAAAATGTAATTGGGCAGATGAAGATGATGGAGTTTTCGGAGCTAGCCGACCTAACCTGAAGAGTCCGCGACCAGAAGGAGGAGGAGTATCAGGAAGAATGGACAAAATTTAATGATTATTTAGTTAAATATGTAAAATTAAGTTAATTGGAAATAGCTTGCAGATATTTTATTGGCTTAGGATTTCATATAAGTTAAGTGATGAATCAATATGTTTAATTTTAAAATTAAAGGATATAAGGATGTTAATGTTTAAGTTAAATTTCATAAGAACTTTGATTTGGAAAACCGTTAAAAAGAAGTGCATGGAAATTCAACCAAGGGGAAGCGAGGAAGTCACTTAACAATGTTAATAAGTGTAATTTTAATAAGGTTATGATCCATGTTTGTTTGTTTATTTGTTTGTTTTGTTTATAATTTTGTGAAAATTAATAAAAATTTTATTTAAAAAATGTTATCAATCTTTCATGGCCACGTCAGAGGAAAAGAGGGAAGTGGGAAGCAGATATGCTTAAGGCTAGGCTCATTCTTGTGTTACTGAACAGAACCATTGAAAAATCAGAGGTTCAAGAAGAAAAAAATTTATACACAAAAATCATTAACCCATGAAATTCACTGATAGGCTGTGCATATGATAATGTTCACTATTGTTTTGTTTTTGTTTTTAAATGGAGCAGGCAAAAGTTAGTAGCTACTAGATATGCTTCCAAAAGTTTCATTTTCAATGACTGTCTTTTGCTCACTGATAACTAGAGTCCCTAAAACACAGGGCTGCATGTATTCTCCAGCCCTTCCAACTTTGCCGCCAGATCCACTCTGCCCAGGTGTGTAAATGTGATTAGAATTGCTTGCTCCCTGCATGTTTTGTCCATCACAAGACCATTTGACCCTTTGCTAGGAATGTTAGAAGCTGCCTTATGCGGAGTCAGACCTTTTAGTCCATCTACACAGGCTGACAGTGGCTCAGCAGAGTTTCAGGCGGGGGTCACTACCTGAAGAAGCCAGGGGTTGAACCTGGGACCTTTCGCTACCTCTGTGCTGTGGCCCTTCCTGCTCCTCCACTAAACTCATATTTTCATTACCACAATTTGGCTTAGTAGCTTGATGCTAGGAGAGGCGGAGAGGGAGTATGTGCTCATGCACCCAGAGACTCTGCATGCTCATACACGCTTTGGGACAGCACGCATGCCCTTGTAAACTGGGTATGTGTCCCCGAATTTAAACCAAAAAGGAACCCCCCGTTTCCTGCAAGCAAAAAGCAACTCGGAGCAATGCTTCCTCGTTCCAATATGCTGGCAATGAAATCTTAGGAGAAGTGCCTAAACCCTGAAGTCATGTCTGTCAGGAAAGCACCTGAGCATTCACATATACTATGAAGTAATTGCTAAGGGGCTGGGCTATTTTTTCCTCTTGGTATTTTACAGCAGTACAAATAAGAACTAATTACACTGAACCCAAAAGCAGTCTAGCTGACAGGGACAATTTAGCCTTTGAGGGGTGAATATAAAGCTCCCATCTATGGCATGAGAAATGCTTCAGCTCAAAGGGAGTTCTTCCTGCTGCCAGAAACCATGCGCCAGCGGTTCAGATTGACATGAGTGGATGGCCCTGGCAGCCTGCAGTTGCCCATGTGCCTGGTGTGTGTGTCTCTCTCTCCGCCTTACCTCATCTTCCCTCTTCGTATTTTCTCCCTGTGAAAAAGGCATTCTCCCCCTTACCTGTCATGGACCTCACTCTGTCATCGTGTAGCCTCCAACCCAAATTCCTGCTCCCTCTCCTTTACTGTGGATGCCTGGAGAGCCCAAACAGCCTGCTTTGAGAGCCACAGAAATGGCACCTCCACATTTAAGAAGGGAGTATATACTTGAGGGGAAGACATGCAGAACGACATACAGCGTCATGGGAAGCAATGCATCTTCTTGGATTCATCACTGTCCTCTTCCTTTTTTTTTTTATAAATATTTATTAAGGTTTTTACAATGTTACAAAATGAAAAAGAGAAAAGAAAAAATACAAAATAAAAATAGTTAAAAACAATTCCATCTTTTCTTCACTTATCTTTCATTTACTTGTTTCCCGGATCTCCTCATACCTCCCTTTTTCGTATTCCAGTTCAATTTATTAGTTCAGCAATTCCTTTCCCTCCTTATTTTATCCTGATCTTTAATCTTAATATATTATAACCTTAATTTACCTGTTAAGAATCCAATTTTTTCATATTCTTTTATACCATTACAGCTAGAAACCACTTAACTTCAATCCAACATCATTCTAACATTCATTAATTTTGCAATATTTCTGTAAATATTCTTTAAATTTCTTCCAATCTTCTTCCACCGACTCTTCTCCCTGGTCTCGGATTCTGCCAGTCATTTCCGCCAATTCCATATAATCCATCAGTTTCATCTGCCATTCTTCCAGAGTGGGTAGATCTTGTGTCTTCCAATACTTTGCAATAAGTATTCTTGCTGCTGTTGTAGCATACATAAAGAAAGTTCTGTCCTTCTTTAACACCGATTGGCCGACTATGCCCAGAAGAAAGGCCTCTGGTTTCTTCAGGAAGGTATATTTAAATACCTTTTTTAATTCATTATAAATCATCTCCCAGAAAGCCTTAATCCTTGGGCACGTCCACCATAGGTGAAAGAATGTACCTTCAGTTTCCTTACATTTCCAACATTTATTATCGGGCAAATGGTAGATTTTTGCAAGCTTGACTGGGGTCATGTACCACCTGTATATCATTTTCATAATATTCTCTCTTAAGGCATTACATGCCGTAAACTTCATACCTGTGGTCCATAACTGTTCCCAGTCAGCCATCATTATGTTATGTCCAACATCTTGTGCCCATTTAATCATAGCAGATTTCACCGTTTCATCCTGAGTATTCCATTTCAACAGCAAGTTATACATCTTTGACAAAATCTTAGTTTTGGGTTCTAACAATTCTGTTTCTAATTTTGATTTTTCCACCTGGAAGCCGATTTTCTTATCCAAATTGTATGCCTCCATTATCTGATAATAATGAAGCCAGTCTCGACTTTGTTTTTTAGTTTTTCAAAACTCTGCAATTTCAACCTATCTCCATCTTGTTCTAAAATTTCCCAATATTTCGGCCATTTGACCTCCATATTGAGTTTTTTCTGAGCTTTCGCTTCCATCGGTGATAGCCACCTTGGAGTTTTATTTTCCAATAAGTCCTTATATCTTATCCAGACATTAAACAGTGCTTTCCTGACAATATGGTTTTTAAATGCTTTATGCGCTTTGACCTTATCATACCACAAATATGCATGCCATCCAAATACGTTATTAAAACCTTCTAAATCCAAAATGTCTGCGTTTTCAAGAAGCAGCCATTCTTTCAACCAGCAAAAAGCTGCTGATTCATAGTAAAGTTTAAAGTCTGGCAGGGCAAATCCACCTCTTTCCTTTGCATCTGTTAGTATTTTAAATTTTATTCTAGGCTTCTTGCCCTGCCAGACAAATCTAGAAATATCTCTCTGCCACTTCTTGAAACAGTCCATTTTGTCCACAATTTGCAATGTTTGAAACAAAAACAACATTCTGGGCAATACATTCATTTTTATCGCAGCAATGCGGCCTAGCAGTGAAAGCTTCAAATTTGACGAAATTTCTAAATCTTTTTTCACTTCAACCCAGCATTTTTCATAGTTGTCTTTAAATAAATTCCCATTTTTTGCTGTCATGTTAATCCCCAAGTATTTGACTTTCTTAACCACTGTTAAACCTGTCTCATTCTGAAACCTCTCTCTCTCAATTGGTGTTAAATTTTTCTCTAAAACCTTGGTTTTTGACTTATTCAGTTTAAACCCTGCAACCTGACCAAATTCTTGAATCAGTTCTAAAACCCTTTTGGTACTAGATTCTGGCTCCTGTAACGTCAATACTAAGTCATCTGCAAATGCTCTCAATTTGTACTGTTTGGTTCCGACCTGTATACCTTTAACCAACTGGTCCCTTCTTATCATATTCAGCAAAACCTCCAGGACCGCATCACTGTCCTCTTCCTTGCCCAGCATCAGAATTTCTCTGGCGAATGAGCCAATGAACTGCAAGGAAGGGAGCATGCATGGCTTGCTAGCCGCACAAGAGCAGTCCTAGGAAAGTCTGCCAGCCAAGTCCCATAGTTGCATCCAATACCAAGATGTTAACAACAACAACAGGGTGTAATTGCCTGTCAGGGCTAGAGTCAGACACTAGTCAGCACAAAAGACGCAGGCTCTGTTGTCAGTGAAGTTAACTCTTTAATTCAAGGAAATGGCATACAACTCTGCAACACTTCCCAGTAGGTCTTGTCCCTATGGAGCAGTGGCCAGGACTGAAAGTCCCTGCCTTCCACCTTTTCTAAGACTCCTCCTCTCCCAGATGTTTCCCAAGCAGTCTCAAACTGCGCCTGTGCACCTCTGGCCTCTGTTCTGCTCTCCTCATTATTCTGCACATTCTTGGAGACCAGGAGGGGAGGGAGCTTGTCACCGCAGCAGATTCTTCAGCAGCCTCTGCTTCCGCCTTGGAGTCTGAACTGCTCTCTGTCACAGGCTCTTCCTGCACACTAAACCTTGTTGCCCCTTCAGCATCCAGCCCCTCCTCCCCATCTTCTCCCTCTGACCTCTCCTCAGTGTCCCACTACCAATCCCCTGGCTCTGAGCCTTCCTCTTCTGAGGTTTCCCTTGAGGGTTCCCCGGCTGGTGCCTCCCACCACTCCTCTTTGTCCAGCCAGTTCCTGCCATTGGCATTATCTTGGGAGGAATCCTCAAGCAAAGCTTCGCTTGCAGTGTTGAGGACATGCATATGCTGAAAGTGGGAGCAGTGGGAACAATATCCTACAGAAGCCAGGTGCATATAAACCAAGAGGATGGTTAGTTTCTCAAGGACCTTCTAAAATGGGGCAACAGTTAGTGGAGAATTTCCAGGTTTCAGCGGGGTGGGCAGATTGAGCAGGGGGTGAACAACTGCAGATTAAATACCATCTGTCAGTCTGCCCTCCATGAGTATCATCCCAGCCAATAAGGAAGCCACAGCTTGCTGGATGGCTTTTGCCAGCTAGGCTGGGCATGAGTCCATCTTGCAGTGGTCGCTTGCCTGCTGCCGTGTACACATTCCCCATCAGTTGGCGATACCAAATGTAGCCAAGCCAAACAAGAGAGAACAAGACTGGTACTCAAAGAAAAGAAAAAATCTGGCTCTGCGTTTAAACTGAATGGCCCTAAATCAAGTTGAAAATGAGTAATTTTGTTTGCAGAATGGAAACGGGAGAGCTATTTGGTCTGAGCATTGCAAAATGTTAATGTTTCTGTTATGTTTAGGTTTTGTAGACTTTCAGAGAAGCTTGCTGGGCAAGCCTACCTAGAAATAAAGCCCATTGAGCTCAATTAGATAACACCCGTGTGTGTGTGTGTGTTTAAGGATTATGGCCTTAAGAGTATTTTCACATAGCTTGAACCACGCAAGGTTGGTCCCTCTCCCCAATCCAAGTGCTGTCCACACAACGGATCGAGGACATGGATGTCTTCCCCTGATGATTTCTTTCCCCATGATGAATTCCAGTTCTTTCACCTGCAAATGAGTCATCATCTGTTTTGCAGCTAATGCCGTTTGAACCCAGCTTAGAAAACCAGTGGCGGGAGCACACTGGAGCCACTGTGAACAGCAAAATGAACACACTCTTAGTCTTTGTAATTCTGACTATTGAAATGTCCCAGGGCAGTGTGGTGTTGTGGTTAAAGTGTCAAATTAGAACTGGGAGGACCCGATTTCAAATCCTGATTCAGCCACAGAGTTCACTAGGTATCAGTGGGCTTATCTATCTATCTATCTATCTATCTATCTATCTATCTATCTATCTAATCTATCACCTAATCTGAATAGACAGACACATTTTCCATGGGGGGCAAAGTAAACAGAATTAAAAATCAAATTCCACCAGCAAAGGTTCACATATTCACATATCTCCAATTATGGATGCAATTCAGGCCTACTCAGAGGAGACCCACTGAAAGTAGTGGACATGACTAAGGTTTATTAATTTAGACAGGTATACTAACAACAACAAGTTGAATTCAATCCCGTGGGTATAGAACCAGAGTCAACTACTATGGCACAGTGATTATTCTGATGTGGAGCGAGAAACATGATGCATCACATTAAAATAACTGGGAAAAGCACAGTTTACAGTGGAAAATGCCCCCTCCAACCGAACTGTCATTAAGAGCAGGAGCTGGTGTGCTGTGGGTGGCAGAAAGAAGCAACTGCCACCAGAATCCTTCCTCGTTTACCAACAAGGCCCACATTTCCCCCCACCTTCTTTCGCTCAGTTGTTCCCCTGCACTGACAGCATGCAGAATGCCTAATGGTGGGGTAACTTTTGTCTGCAGCTGCTATACCTAATTGTCCAGCAGCAAGCAAAATATAATGCTAAGGATTTAATTTCCTCCAAGTTGCTGTAATGTGATACATGGCATAGAAGGCATACTGGTTTGCGCCAATGGGAAAACATGAAGAAATCCCCCATAAGGGAAGGGGGATCACGTTTACATCACATTAGGGCAAAGTCTCAGTTGTTTAACGCTTTCTGAAACATGGAAAATTGTATTAAGGATGTGAAAATTCTCCTGAAGGGGGAAGAAATCTGTTATGGGTCTAAATTTGAATGGGGTTTTAGGTTCTTCCAAGCTGTTTCCCATCAGCCACCAATTTGTATTATGTGACTTTGAAGAGCAAGAGGAATGGTCTCATTCTGCAGAGACAACAATGCAACGCCGGAGGAGACCTGGCACCCTAAGATGGTGGCCAGGACCCCAGCAGGGCCTACCAGTGCTTACCCCTGCCCCAGGCCCCAGCTACATTGGGTAGCTAAGCCTGGAAGCTTCTGCTTTAATTTCACACAATGGCCCCAGAGTGAAAAGACATGGGGTACTTTCGGGCATTGTGGGAAATTAAAACGGCAGCTCTCAGCCTCTGCCACTGTCAGATGCAGGGAGGGGGTAAGGAGCCACCAGAGAGACTTTGCTCAGGACCCCTCAAATCTGGATTCAGCCTGGATTCATCTGGAGAATAAAGCAGAAGGCAAGGGATGCAAAGTAGGCTGCTATGAGAAATAAAAAAAGAAATCTCCACGGTCTGAGATCGTGTTGGATTCATCTGCACACAACATGTAAAAGTGTAAAAGTAGTGACTGTGATGCGAGAAGTCAGAGATAAAATAGTTAGTGGGCTGTGACTACTGATAATTTCAGAAACCCACAAGCTCATGGCTTCTTAGTTAAGGCTAGTATTTCCTGTCTCTCCACCTTGTTTCTTCTGACACATATCTCCCACCTCAATGCTGTGGTCTCCATTCTGAATGTGCTAATTTAAAAAGGCAGCTGCGCTTAACACTAAGAACCACAGCACTTGCCTCTCGCACAACTGTGCTCACTTGTGTACAAGCCCCTGAGCACAAAACATGCATGCATCAGATGCCACCTCGGTTGCAAAGGGCATGCGTGTGGCATGTTCAGGCACAGTGAATTAATTCTATGTTATCTCTTTAAGTGCAAGCCAGCTTGCGCACTCCAGCCCCGCCCCCAGGGTCTTTGGAGCCCCTCTAGACAGCTGTATATAACCATGTTTCGTTGCCCAACACTTGTGTGGAGCCAGTAGTTAAGAGACAATACATATGCTATTCACTGCTTGCCACTTTAAAATAGAAGTCAAAGTATTATACCTGATAGGGATTGTTAAATAGTGGGTAGACATAGCAGACGATGCAGCGATTTCTCCACAGCAGCTATTTATTTGGAAGCTGGAACCGAACTGATCAGCAAACAGCTTTTATAGGCAGCCGGCTGTCAACACTGTAGCAACAACAGCCCAGGGTTTCCCGCCTAAAGTAACTGACGTGGACCCGAGTGAAAACTATATACATGATACTCCTGGTGGCCAGGGTGAGAACTTCAATACATAACACCCCTCCCCACCGAGATAAGGCATTAGTTACAATCATAGTGGTTCCATTACATACAGCAAAACCGTTACTGGTTTCAGTAAGGCACATAAGCATATTAACTGACCCTATTCACCAAACAGCTTTACATGTGCAGTTTGCCCAGTGAACATAGTCTTTTAAATACAGGCTACTGGCCTTGCAGATTTCCTGGGCGGAGAGTTCAGCAGCTTCCAAGGCCATGGCCTCCTCAATGGCTTTCTGCAGTGTGAGGTCTGGCTTGGCAAGGATAAGCCGTTGCAGACAGATGTCCCGGACCCCGCAGACGATTTGATCCATCAGGGCATCGTCTAAGTCTCGGAACTCGCAGTGTATTGCAGCCTGTTGGAGGGTGGTGGTGTAGTTGTTAATTGACTTCCACTCTGCCTGGTTCCGGTGGTAGAACGCATGGCAGTCAGTAATCTTGGACGGCTTTGGCGCATAGTGGTTGCAGAGCTTCTCTTGAATCGTGCCTGGACTGCTAGAGGCGCAACCAATGCTTGGGCCGTCGCGAACACTTCGGGGCCACAAAGGCTGAAGGAAGAGGCCCTGCTTCTGCTCTACAGACACTCTTGTCAGCTCATTTGCTTGGAGGTAGCAGTCGAACCGAGTGAGGTAGGAGTCCCATGATTCAGAGGCTGGGGCAAACGGCGGTAGAGGCACAAGTGAAGCCATGATTCTGATGCTGGCGTGGAGGGCAATGGATGGAACACAGTGCTCTAGCCAGAACGGTCAGCTCTGAATTGGTTCTGCTCTGTGATTTCGCTCAGTGTTTCAGCTCCGTGATTCAGCTCAGCTCAGAGGGTGGCCGCGTCTGGCTGTGCTCTGATGTCCCTCGATCCCACCTTCGTCACCAGTGTTAAATAGTGGGTAGACATAGCAGACGATGCAGCGATTTCTCCAAAGCAGCTCTTTATTTGTAAGCTGGAACAGAACTGAACAGCAAACAGCTCAGCCGGCCTGCTTTTATAGGCAGCTGGCTGTCAACATTGTAGCAACAACAACCCAGGGTTTCCCGCCTAAAATAACTGACGTGGACCTGAGTGAAAACTATATACATGATACTCCTGGTGGCCAGGGTGAGAACCTCAATGCAGTGTCTGAGTCTTTCCCTGAATCTGACATCTAACTGCAGAAAGTGGTACCCAATGATTTCAAAGAGAATTTTTTTTAAAAACAGGACATTAATGAAGTTAAAATTTCTCCCCCTAGAAAAGGGCAAATGTTGGAAATGTAAAGCAGCTCTATTCAGGAAGCTTTGTCTTCCACACATTCCTCATTTCTCACTCTGTGTTCACTGAAGTCACATGAGGATATCCCAGAATTATCTGCTCTGCATTTTGGAGAGGTCATAGTCCACCCTGGGAAAGGGGCAAGCAGGCTCTCATGTGGTAATATGCAGCTGAAGGGCCGCATTATTTTATAAGGAAAAGTCCACAGATTAGAGGTCTGCATGACTGTGTGCCACTGCTGGGAGATGAGGGAGAGCTAAGGCCTTTGCATTTATTGTGGTGGTGCTGGACCATGTAAACTATAGAATCATAGAATTTTAGAGTTGGAAGGGACCCCCAGGAATCTCAGCTGAAACATCCATGACAGATGCCCATCCAACCTCTGCTTTAAAACTTCCACGGAAGGAGAGTCCACAACCTCCCGAAGGCGTCTGTTCCACTGCCAAACAGCTCTTACTGTCAGAAAGTTATTTCTGAGGTTTAGTTAGAATCTCTCTTTTTTTGTAAGTTGAAGTCATTGGTTCGAGTCCTACTCTCCAGAGCAGGAGAAAACAAGCTTGTTCCCCCTTCCATGTGACAGCCCTTGAGATATTTGAAGATGGCTATCATATCTCCTCTCAGTCTCCCTTTTTCTAGGCTAAACATACCCAGCTCCTTCAAGTGTTCCTCATAAGGCTTGGTTTCCATTCAGTGTGTCCCCTCTCCTGCCTTCATCACTGCCCACCACTGAGGGCCAAGAGATGCAGGTACCAACCCCACTGCTACCACACCTGGGTAGCCAATAATAGCACTTTTTCTTTCTCCTCACTGCCCCTCTGACCCCAGGACCAGCCCACCTACAAGGCAAGGCAAGGCAAGGCAACTGCCTCAGGGGCAGGATCCACAGAGGCAGCAGATACTAATTAGCCCTTTATGGTTTTACAATCACATTATCAGAGTCCAAGGACACATTCCAGCCAGGTAAAAGCACTTTGCCCCCAGGCCTGAGCTTCCCCACCTTCCTAGGGCAGGTGAAAAGGATCAACACCTTCTCTGGAAAATGATATGGTTAAAAAGAGAGAGATCTTAATATTGACCCATATGCAGTCTTTTGTTTTGGAGCTAGGAAACAAGCAGTTAACAGTATGGCTGTGGTTCCTATTAGTTTTTAGATTTCCCAAGTATATTCTTGGAAACTTTTTTCTTATTTTGTGAGAAGAGTCATTTTGGTGGAGAAGGCGGAAGTGTGGCGGTGGGGGGGGCAGACTCTCATTTTAAAAAAGAAAAAGAATAGAGCAAGCTGCAGAAAATCCATCAGTTCAGCTGGCTGCTCCCCATATGTTCCATGGAAGTCAGCCAGTGTGTCAGATATTCATTCATTTTGGGCGCTAAATATCTTTTTCATTTCTGAGCAGCTTCAATTTTCTCCATGTCTCAGGGAATAGTTTATGAGGAAATAGGACCTTGAGGGTGGACAGATGGAGAAAAATCTCTTCTCCTCACACAGCTGATCGCTGCAATCTTTCATCCCCTCAGCGCAGACTGACCCTGCTACCATACAACTCTTCCTTCTGAAATAGTCTCATATCTGAAGGGGGTGCAAATGGCTCCCCGTGATCGATTCAGAGTGTTTTCACCCAGGCTGCAGTCAGTCAGCTCAGCTCAGGGGGATCCAGGCTGTGACCCGCAACACACAAAAGCCTCCTTGTGTGTTCCTTAGCTTACGTTTGCCACACCAGAACTGACGTGGGTCAGCCATACAGGAAGCATCAGCCTGATATGATCTCGGGGCTGCATGTTGGCAACTCACAAGGAACATTGCATGTGGGGCTGAAGTAACCTTGCTCCTGTTTCATTTGCAAATTTGACAGTATCAGACTTGGGCTCAACAGCAACTAGAGGTGGCTAGCTCACTCAGAAGCCACTTTTCTTTCTCTGGGCACTATTCATCTTGCTTTGACTCTTCATCAGTAGCTGGGAGTGAGCTACACCCACTCAGTTTGGACCTTTTACTCTTTATTTTTTTTAAAAAAAAATATTTTTATTGAGATTTAAGATCACCCACCAACACCCACCAACACCAGTAAAACATCAAATCTTATTACATATATCCTACTTTATGCTCCGTAGAGCTGTTGACTTCCGTCCTTCCCTTCCATCAGTTTTCCTATTCTATTCTATAGTTCACAGTTTCTTTGATTAGATATTACAACATGACATAAGATTTACTTCAATCCTGCCAAAGTTTTCAAATTTGCACAGTTCTCACTTATATAGATCAAAAATTTACACCATTCTTTTGGTACTTTGTCTCCTCCTGATTGCGAATTCTGTGTGTCAATTTAGCCATCTCAGCGTATTCAACCAGCTTTATCTGCCATTCTCCTATTGTCGGCATCTCCTGTTGCTTCCACTTTTGAGCTATCAGAACTCTAGCTGCTGTTGTTGCGTACAAATATAATCTTTGATCAGTCTTCTTAATATCTTCTCCCACCAAACCTAGCAAGAATTCTTCCGGCTTTTTGGGAAAGCTATACTTAAACATCTTTTTTAACTCGTTATAAATCGATTCCCAGAACTCTTTTAATTTATTACATGACCACCACATATGAAAGAAGTCGCCATCCTTTTCCTTGCATTTCCAGCAAGTTTTACTACTAGTTCTGTACATTTTTGCCAATTTGGTGGGAGTAAGATACCAACGATAGACCATCTTCATAACATTCTCTTTTAAGGCAGAACAAGCGGTGAATTTTATACTCTCATTCCAGAGTTTGGCCCATACATCATAATCTATGTTGTGTCCTAGATCGATAGCCCATTTTATCATAGCCTCTTTTATAAGTTCGTCTTTTGTATTCCATTCTAATAGATTATACATTTTTGAAAGTAGTTTAGACTTACTTTCTATAATGTCTATTTGAAATTTCGATTTTTGTCTTCAAATCCTAATTTTTGTCCTCTTTAAAAACATCATTGACTTGATGGTATTGCAACCATCCTGTCAATTTTCCAGCAATACAATCATAAGGCTTCAATTTCCAACCTTTTTTTGGCCTTCATCAGAATCTCCTCATAGGTGGCCCCTCTCCTTCTATGTTCAGTTTTTTAACTGTTAACATATCAATTGGTGACACCCACCACGGTGTTTTCCTTTCCAACAAATTCTTGTTTCTGTCCCAGACTTCAAATAGAGCGCCCCTTATCACATGATTTGTAAACCCTTTATGCACTTTTGCCTTACCATACCAAAGATAGGAGTGCCATCCAAATCTATTGTTGTGCCCCTCCAAATCTAACAAATTTGGGTTCTGGGTTCTGGGTACTCTTTAGCCGGGATCAAACTTTCATTAGCTCCACATCCTAATCTTCTGCATGGTTTGGTTTCTGAACCCATTTCTTTCTTATTATTTTTCATAATAAAAAAATCCCCCATCTCTTCAGTTCTGTTTTTATGATCTGTGCACCTCTCTACTGATAGGTTACTACCATATGCATCTGACCAAAGCGGATTCTGGTCCATGAAAGTTTATGCCACAAGCCAGTTGCTCCTCTGATGCCATGAGGATCTTCTCTGTTTAACAGCAAATCGCTTGGCAGGCTGACTCGCTGAGGAACTGAACATTGGGCATTTAGAAACAGAGAACAATGAAGAGCAGCAAGAAAGCTACATCAGGTGTACGATCCCCACCCGGGCCCACCCCAAAGAGTGTCAGATGACTGAATAGATGCCGCAGCACCAGAGAATGAAAAATTTGGAGTACAGTTGCAAACTGTCCATGAAAAACTGGCCTGGCCAGAAGGTTGTGGGCTTTAAAGGGGAAAAAAAGTATCTGGGCCAATTGCCAGGAATTTAGTTTATTTTAAATGCCAGACAACTGGCCTGGCTGTGACATTTCTGAGTAAAGCCAGATTTTTGAAATCTGCCATCACTGTCATTTACACTTAGGCACGCTGTAAAAACTGTAGCCCACACATCGGCACGATTCTTATGTGTCCTGGCCCAACCACAAGACAAAGCAAGGCAAGAAAAGAATGCTAGACAATAGGAGGATCTTCTAATGCTCTTACGTTGATGTCATGTGAATGAGAAGAAAGCTGTTTGCTGTTTCATGCGTCGCTATTGCACGTTTACTGCCAGGGAAGGGGAAGAGGTGCTTGCGGGATTTTCTGCATCAGGCACCAAAAGAACTTGGCTGGCCTTGGGTACTGTGCCCTGGTTTGGGTTGGAGAGGGGCGTTATTTGTCACGTAGCCTCAAGGACCAACATGTCTTTGGCTGGCTCTGATTGTTGTGCTTAGCTCCAGTGTACCAATACACATGCACGTTTAGGGCACATAACTGGGGTCCCTCCATAACTGTCCGGATACAGGAAACAGTATGGTGCCATGGGGACTGCTCTCATAGCTCTGTGACGGATTCTGTCTGACTCTGTCTCCATCCATATTCTAGAACTTTTGACATTTTGAGCTTCCAACTCCGCTCACCGGTTCCTTTCTTATCTGTGATGTCTTCCTGCTATGGATAAGAAGCATGGCCTCCTCAGATCTATCTGCATGGCTTTCAGCAGCTCTGATTGCACAATGTGTAACTGCCCCTGTCCCTGTTCCATTTTCATGGCTTCTCCATCTTTGTGAATCTCTAGACACGTTTTTTTTTTAAGTGGGTAAGGACAATAGCAAATGCCACACCTTCCGACTAAGCCTTGGGAGATTGTGGTTCAGATTTCAGTGCAGGCTATTGAAGTCATCTTTGATCCAGACCCCAAGGAAAATGGGAAAGGAATGTGCCAGACACAAAGAAGTAGATAAGCTCCAGTGCTGCATATAGATTCCTTCACGTGACCAGAAGGTGTGATCACAAAGCAAGATAGCAAATGCTAGTGAATGTTAACCGCAACATACGTATTTTCTTCAGATGCCCCCACCAGCATAATTTACCCCTGCCTGGCTCTGCTGGAAGGCCTGTGAAATCCATGTGAATTCTCATAGGGGTGCCCCAGCCATGCCCTCTCTTTCTTTAATGGTCCAATTTACTCCACAGTTGCTACAACATCACACTGTTTTGGCTTTTATGGAGAGATGTGCTTTGATCCAATACAGTGTACGCCATTCCGCAAATATGTTGCACTACCGATGAACATTTACCGTATTTTTCACTCTATAAGACGCACCAGACCATAAGATGCACCTAGTTTTTGGAAGAGGAAAACAAGAAAAAAATTATTCTCAATCCCAGAAGCCAGGACAGCAAGCGGGATTGCAGCGCAGCGATCACGCTGGCTGTCTTGGCTTTTTGCTTGGCCGCGTGCAGCCTCTCCCAGGCAAGGGAGCCTTCATCCCCTGCCCGGGAGAGGCTGTGCACGGCTAAGGCTCCCCCAAGAGCCACGCTCCCTTTGAAGATCACGAGGAGTGTGTGTCTTGGGGGCTTTTCCCCAAGGAGGAACCGCACACAAGCTCCACGCGGCTCTTTAAAGGGAGCGCTGAGCAGAGCCTCCCGCCTGCATTCGCTCCATAAGACGCACACACATTTCCCCTTACTTTTTAGGAGGGGGAAGTGCGTCTTATAGAGCAAAAAATACTGTGTGCCCATTGGCCCTTCAGCTGAATTCTTAACAAATCTAACCAAAGTGTTAGTTTTGACCTACAAAGCCTTAAACGGCTCAGGACCGCAATACCTCAAGGATTTCTTCTCGTCATATGAACCTACCTGGACCCTGAGATCATCATTCTTTGTGAGCCTCCTCCATGAGAGGTCCAGAGGGTGGCAACATGAGAAGCAGTCTTTTCTTCAGTGGCTCCCCATTTGTGGAATGCTCTTCGCAGAGGTTTGGCTGGCACCCTCATTATTAGGCAAAAACAATCCTCTTCAACCAAGCCTTTGGCTGATTAACATCCAATTCCCTTTTAAATGTGTTGTGGGAGGGTGGGATTATTGGTCTTTGTTCTTGTTTTTATGATGTATTTTGTGTTTCTGTCATTGTGTTTTTATGTTGTGAAGCGCCCTGAGATCTGCGGATGAAGGGCGGTCTGCACATTTAATAAATAAATAAACAATCATTCACAATGTTAACCAAGTTCATTCATTTAAGTCTTACGAACCTGAAAGATTTATCTTGTCTATGTCTGTCTTGAAAACGAATCTGGTGACGGCTGTGGGGTTTAAGGGAAGGGCTGTAAAGGGTTTTTGTCCAGAGATACAAACAGCAGGCATCTTTATCCCCATTGTATACACGTCCAACCAGTTCCCTATTACCAGACTGAATTAAGTCCCCCAACTTCCAGCCATTCAAGCTTAGGAATGTCAGCTTCAAAGCTTGAGAGCAGCTATAAATCTCCCAGTTCAGTGGGAGCCAAGGCAGCTTATGCCTTCTCCTGTCTGTTCCCTCCCTGGCCTTTTTTGTCCACCACCCTGTTCTCCTTTCCGCCTGACATACCTGATCGATTGCAGTAGGTTGGGGAGATTAGTAGATGACAGGGCTGTGGCAGGAAGAGGCAGCAGAAGCAACAGTTGCCTGGGAAATTTAAAGCTATGTGTTCTCCAGCTTTGAATCTGGAGAGCCTGGTCAGGCTGGTCAGTTTTCAGGGTTGTAAGAACACAGGAAGCTGCCTCATGCAGAATCAGTACAGTGCTCCACCTCACTTCATATTGTCAGCACGGGCTGACAGCAGTTCGCCAGGGTTTCAGAAGATGATGCTGGGGATCAAACCCAGGAGCTTTTGCATGTGAAGCAGATGCTGTACGACTGAGCTACTACAACTCCCCTAATGTTGTGCCTTGCTGCCATGAGTTGATGCTTATCTTTGGCCTTGCTGCCTCAAAATGGGCTGGAAGCCTCCAGCCAGGGTAAGACAGCTGCTGTGAACTAAAAGGGTCCTGAAAATATGAACTTGCTTCTGCTGGCTTGAAGTATGCTGCTTGTAACGACGGCTGCGAGAAGAGATGGAAGGAGTGAGAAGTGCCGAGCAGAGAAGAATGGCAGACCAAGTTCATGGAATATGCAGAGATGGCGAGACTGACGGGAAAGATCAGGAACCAGGAAGATCAAGTATTTCTAAAAGACTGGAATAATTTTTTAACATACTTAAAAGACCACTGTAAACAGTTAAAATTAGGCATCCCCAAACTTGGCCCTCCAGCTGTTTTGGGACTACAATTCCCATCATCCCTGACCACTGGTCCTGTTAGCTAGGGATGACGGGAGTTGTAGTCCCAAAACAGCTGGAAGGCCGAGTTTGGGGATGCCTGGTTAAAATCATTGGCAGGGATACAATGACACTTGTAATGTGAAATGAACTTTGGAAACTATGAATATATAACAGATAGATAACGGTAAAAGATGCAGAAAAAGAAAAAAAGAAAATATTTTCTTTGGAAATGGAACCCAGGGAAGGGAGGGAAGGAAGTCCAAAGGTTCGAAAGAACCTTTTTATTTTAATGTTTTGAAATGGTTGAAGTTAAATTGTATAAAATTATGCAAAACCAATAAAGAAAATGAAGTAAGTTGTTCGTGCAAAGCAGAGAATAACTTGTTTGCTTTGAGAAGAGGATGTCCCAAGCCAAGGACAACTGTTTGCTTTGTAGAAGCCCTGCGTACATTCCCTGCTCTTACTCTAAACAAATTGCTTGCTTTTTTTTTTTTACAGGCTCAGTACAGTGTGTTGATGGCATTTTTGTACTCTTAATAATGTTGATTATGATTATTTACCCCACCCATTATTATTATTATTTGTACTCTTAATAGCTGGGAAAAAATTGCTGTTTTTTGACCCCTGCCTTAGAATAGTCTGCAGTGGCTCCTATTTAACAGACAGTTTTATGCAACACAGAATATACAGTTTGTGGGGGGGATATAAATGTACCAATGCATGTGCTTCTTTGATGTCCCTGATATTTTCAATCTATAGCAGGGTTTCCCAAACTTAGGTCTCCAGCTGCTGTTGGACTACAACTCCCATCATCTCTAGCTAGCAAGACCAATGGTCAGGGGAAAGTATGAATCTGAGCTAAGTCCATTGTATGCATGTAGGCTTTGTTTCCTCTGGGTAGGAGGTTTGACGGAAGAGTCAACATGGTTTCCTCCAGTTGCACAGCAACTTCCAGCAGCCCCAGATGGCATAGCCAACAGTCAGGAAAGGTGGGAGATGGACTCCAACTACGCTCTGCAGGGCACTGTGTTGGCAACCGCTGGCTTAAGTCCAAGACTTCGTAGAAAAGGCAGCCTAGCAACCTGCACCTGCATAATGAACAGAGTTTTGCCATCTAGGCTGGGGCTCTGGTGCTACACTCAAAGAGGTTTACAGCTTTAAAGGATAACCAACCTTTCAAGGAATCTACTGACATATTGCATGCAGTTTGTAGAACTGTAGATTCAGGTTTTACAGCCAGCAATTAGGAGCCAGCAAAAAGGCTGGGGCCCTGAATCATTCCCTTTGCGACAAAGAGCAATGTGTATCTATTTGTCTACGCAGAGCATCCCATTCTCAGTCTTATTAGCACAGCACTGAGAATACTGTATTTCACCTAACAGAAATTCAAAAGTTAAGTTTTCCCTGTTCAGAATATGACAGATTGCAGGGAGCAACAATGGAGTGATTGAGAGCCTCTACTAATCACATCAATTGATATAAATTACTTTGTCAGCTCCACCATGCAGCTGCCTGTAGGATTTACACCTCATTAAGCTTCCAAGTGCTAAATGAATCAATAGGGCTCAGTGCTACCATTTTTAATTAATTGTTCTAGTAATAGGGCAAAAGGAGCACAGGAAAAAAATAATAACCAGAACTTTGCTTCCTATAACTCTGGACAAGTTTGTGGATGCTGAAATCCCCCCTCTATCAATTTGAAATGCGTTTAGAGATTCTCCCCGGAGAATATCAAGCAGCAAATAATAAATGCAAATAATTGCTGCTAATTATTGGAAGCGGTCTTCCGAACATGTAAAGTGCCAAGTAATCCCTGTTTCATTTAGGGCCAGGCTATGGCCATGGGCAGAGATACCTAGAACTAACCCGGGGTGTGTGTGTGTACATGTGCGTGTGTGCACGCGCATATTCCAACCTAGTGTGGTGTAGTGGTTAAGAGCGGTAGTCTCCTAATCTGGGGAACCGGGTTCGCGTCTCCGCTCCTCCACATGCAGCTGCTGGGTGACCTTGGGCTAGTCACACTTCTCTGAAGACTCTCAGCCCCACTCACCTCACAGAGTGTTTGTTGTGGGGGAGGAAGGGAAAGGAGATTGTTAGCTGCTTTGAGACTCCTTAGGGTAGTGATAAAGTGGGATATCAAATCCAAACTCTTCTTCTTCTTCTACTGCCCTCACAATCAGGACAGAGAAGGACAGAAGGCTGTTGCAAGTTGCATCCACTGCTAGTCCTGCTCAGCTCTGTTGAAAGTAAAGGACACAACTAGCTTAGATTCAATTTATTTCAGTGGGTTTACTCTGAGGAGAACATAGGCTAATACAACCCCTATACTCTTAATCTTCAGGACTTGGCCAATCAATCACAGGTGCCTTCTGGTTTTTAACTGCAGATCAACGTTTTGCAAAGAAAACCAGGGGCTGTTCGGTACAAGGAAGACAAATATCCCAGTAACTTTAGTGCTAACACACACACACACACACACACCTCTGCCATGCTAGCAGGAATATTTGATGCAATCTACAAATTTGCTGCCAGAATGCTTGTGCTTGTCTGTGATTATCAGAAGCACCTAAATGTCTGAAATAGAAGCCTCTGGGGAGTCCTGTCTCCTATACTTCGGTTTTTGGAAGCTACCTGCGGTCCTTCAGTGATGAAGTCCTCATGGGCACATTATTTGTATTGTTGGGGTGGGTCTAAAAGATCTTATGGGGACTCCTCTAGCCCAGCCATTTTGATGGTAAGGTGAGCTTGCTAAAATGGTCAGGCTGGTTGGACCCGTTTATCCTGGCAGGTTTTCTAACGTTAGGGAAATGGCGGTGGCGGCTGTCTTTTCCAATAGCAGGAAGAGATTTGAATGGGCTAGAAAGCTAGGAAGATGACTCATCCATTCATTCATCCTCCACCTGAGCACCTGGATGGGTGAGAGAAATAATAATAATAATAATAATAATAATAATAATAATAATAATTTATTATTTGTACCCTGCCCATCTGGCTGGATTTCCCCAGCCACTCTGGGCAGCTTCCAACAAAGACCAAAAATACACACCAGAAAGACAAAGAGCACTGAGCTCCTCCTTGTAGGAAAAGGTGCTGGCTGTGCCCCTCCCCCCAATAAATCAGATGGAAAGCTGTCAACTCTGGGACATCTCTTGGGGTGCTTAATCTGGTGAATCTCCATCTATGATCAGTTGCTATACCTGTGTAAATAAACCATATATGATAAAACACCACTAAAATGCTGGGGATCTCATTTCAAAAGTAAATGGCTTAGGTAAACTCTGCACTCCTGGTGTTTTTATCCACTGGAAGAATTGGGGTGTGTGTAGCAATATGTCCTAGAACACAAGTGGCCCCTGAACTGAGCCGCCCATTCGGAGAGTCCCCACGCATTGCGCTAAACCAGCATGGCACAGCATAGCACGGGGACTTGCTTCCGCGGTGCCGGAAATTGCATCTGCGCAGATGCCAGAAATCGTATCTGCACAGAGCCAGGCACCGGAAATCGTGTGCGCACTCACGCGCAAAATCCAACCCACGAAGGGATCTCCGCTGGAGTGAACCAACCCAGGCAAGGTAAACCTTGCCGACCCCTGTCCTAGAACTAAAGGAGAGCCAGTAGTCTCATGGAAAGCTGCTTGCCTGCTTCTTGTGATCATCTTCTGTGTGCCAGATGTTTGCCAAAGACTTCTCTGGGACTCATCTTCCCTTACCAGTAAAATAATAGCTGCAGCTGTCTAATATATATGTGTATGTATATATAAAGATTTTGCATATCTTTATACTGAGTGCTTCTAAATCAGGAGGTTCGCGCACACAGCTTGAGTCATATTACCGAAGAATCAAACTGGGGTTCCGGTGTAAAGTTAACTAATTATTCAGACAATGCCAGTATAGTAACGAAAAGTATTCAGCAGTGCTTCCAATTTCCTACTAGCAGGGCTCACAAATGCAAGGGCTCACAGCTGCTTCTCCTGTTCAGTATTTGAGATAAACAAGAGTCAGCTCGATCTTTCATCAGGACTGTGTGAGAAATTGAACCTTATGGCAACACAAGTAAGTCCTTCAGCCCAAGCATTTCTTCTTGCCCAGGAGACTGACTTCCTCTCTCCTCCCCCACGTGCCCTAACACCCCTTCTCTGAGCCAATTGGGGGTAAGTCCCATGGTGCTAGCTGGAATTGTGTTGGCTCCCTCTTTTGATGATGATTATTCATTACGTTTATATATTTCCTGTACCTTCCAAGGAGCTCAAGGTGGTGTACATAGTTTTCCTCCTCCCCATTTCCTCCTCACAACAACCCTGTGAGGCAGGCTAGGCTAAGAGATGGTGACTGGCCCAAGGTCACCCAGTAAGCTTCGTGGCTGAGTGGGGATTTGAACCCTTCTCACCCAGTTGGTCATTGTCCAACACTCTTATCCATTACGTTACACTGGCTCTAGGGCAGCGGTAGGCAAACTAAGGCCCGGGGGCCGGATGCGACCCAATCACCTTCTCAATCCAGCCCACAGACAGTCAGCGTGTTTTTACATGAGTAGAATGTGTACTTTTATTTAAAATGTATCTCTGGATTATTTGTGGGGCATAGGAATTCATTCACACACACCCCAAAT